AAGATGAGGCTTTCTACTCCCGTAAAGATTTACACCCTCGGAAACCCTGTACAGGGTCGCTATGAGTCGGTTCCGACTCCACGGCACATAACAACAACAACAACAAGGGTTTCTTCTAGATTGTTTTAATGTAGATCTCTAGGTCTGCATCTAAACCTATACTCGTTTTTGTATGTTTCCAAATGTGCCTGCTTATAACTATATGTTGAACTAACATGCTATTGAGGTTCAGTCATTTCAGAGTGTTGGTCAAATACTTAATTCATGAAAATAGATCACTCATTTATACATGCAACAGATAGTTGCCAGGGACTGTATTTACAATGATGTTGAAAACGAAGTCCTGGTTCTCATGGGCTTTGCATTCTAGTGACAGAAACATTGAAAGGTAAATAAATAGTAAACAAATATACCTGATTGCTTAGAAACTTAAAACAGAATAATAAATAATTTCCTATCTGTAACAAATTAGCACACACTTTTTAAAAAAATTGAACTGAGTGATCGTTTACATGGGAGAACATTGGTTTTATACCATCATTTCATTGCAATGATTACAATCTCCTCCGTGCATCATCATTCAATAATATTTGCTTTTTTCCCCTCTTTTTTTTGGCAGGGGTGGTGGTGGTGGTGGATGTACACCAAAACACTCAAGAATGTACAATCATTCAAGCACCCAAAGGGCACACCCTGCAAGCCTGATCCCTGGCTGCTAGTACACAGCCCCTCTCTCTCCATGAGTCTAGAGACCCCAGCTGCTCCATCTCTCCATGTCCTCACCTCTGCCTCCATCTCTGGTGTCACTGCTTTTCTGGATAGGATTCTGATTGTAGCACAAACTTTTGTGTGTGTGTGGTTGTTAGGCATCATTAAGTTGGTTCTGATTCACAGAGAGTCAAAACACAACAAAATGAAACAAAGCAAAATGCACCTTCCTCTTAATTGTTACATTTGAATCCGTTGGTGCTGCAATGATGTCTTCTAGTTGAGGGGGTCTTCCTCTGTTTCATAGAGCCTCCACTTTACCAAGCATGATGTCCTTCTCTTAGGACCAGTCCCTCCTGATCACGCATCCAAAGAACAAGAGACAAAGTCTCACTATCCTTGCTTGTAAGGAGCATTCTGGCTGTACTTCTCCCCCAAACAGATTTGTTTCTTCTTCTGGTAGTTGCAGTGTTCTTCTCCAACATAATTCAAATGCATCAATTAAAGTCTTCCTTATTCTTTGTTCTATTTTCACATGCGCATGAGGCAATTGAAAATAGCATGGCTTGCATAAATTGCACCTTGGTCCTTAAAATGACCTCTTTGTTATTGAACACTTTAAAGAGGTCTTTCATAGCAGGTTTGCCTAATACAATACATTGTTTGATTTCTTAATTGCTGCTTCCATAAACATTGATTATGGATCCAAGCAAAGTGAAGTCTTTGACAACTTCCATCTTTTCTCCATTTATTATCATGTTATTTGTTTAACATAATCCCCCAGTTGTTAGGACTTTCCGTTTCTGTACATTGAAGTGCAATCCATATTGAAGGTTGCAGTCTTCGATCTTCATCAGTAAGTATTTAAAGTCCTACAAGTAAAGTTGTATCATCTGTATATTGCAGGTTATTAATGAATCTTCCTCCAATCCTGAGACCATATTCTTCTTCAGATAATCCAGTTTCTCAGATTATTTGCTCAGCATAGAGATTAAATAAGTATAGTGAAAAGGATACAACTTGGTATCACCTTTCCTGATTTTAAACCAGTCACTATCCCATTGTTCTATTTAAATGACTGCCTCTTGGTCTGTGTACAGGTTCCCCATGAGTACAATTACGTGTTTTGAAATTCCCATTATTCACAATGTTATCCATAGTTTATTATGATATACACAGTTGAGTGCCTTTG